TCACCTATTAGTAAGTATGAAAAAACATGAAACTTAAGAAGAAATTTTCTATCTTATATAGAGTCTAATACGTATTCAACTATTGAAGAATTTACTTCATTAACATCTCTATTTGATCTATTTGATGATTTATCTAATGCTGGCTCATGTATTCGTTTGATTTTTACTGATTGTTTATTCAATATGGAATTATATGAAAAATTCAATGCCCAATCATCAATTGATGATCTTTCAAATATCTCATATGATGTTTATTTACAGCAATTAAACGAAATACCTAGTCTGCTTATGCCAATATCCCTACGCAAGGATAATTCATCAGTTTATTTCCATATTAAAAAAGCGACATGTCTTCTTGATGAAATACTTTTTTGGTTGGTTAAATATCAAATTCCTGAACGATTATTAAAATTTTTACTCATATTATTAACTGATTTGAACTTTAAAAGTTTATGTATTCGATCATTTCTTAATATCTATGGTATGGTAATTGATCGATTAATCCATTGTCGAAATTCTCGTGAAAGAATGAATAGTTCTCAATATGTACATATTAGTGTACAATTATTTTCTAATATCGATATAACAGTTCAAGCTATAAAAGATTATCATTTGATAGAACTAATACTTTCATCTCTATATTCAATATTTTCTAATATACAAATCAATTGTCAATTACAAAAATCAAAAGAAAATTATCATTTAGTAATATATGAAATTGATTTTTCAAAAAACATGCATTATTGGCCCATTATTTCGGATTTTATTAATATATTATCACATGAATATGCGAGTAGAGAATTCTTATTAGAGAAAAGATTTTTTATAACTTGGATTAAAATGATTAGTTGGTTTCAAGGTAAAAGATTGAATTTAACATTTTTGTTTAAATGGCTTTGTTTTCTTTTTTTCTTCTTTTTGAGGTATGAATGTTAATCAGCATGAAATTGAATCAGAAATCTTATTACAATCAAATACAAATTATCTATTTGCTTTTACAATGGAAACTGAATGTTGTGCTATGGTTTTATGGACAATTATTACTCATATTATGAAACCAGTAAGTTTTTGAATGTTAAAATTGTTGTCAAAAGACAAAAAGAAGAAAAACAATATGATAGGATTTTCTGGATATTACTATGAAAGCAATTAATTATCTATTTCTTGAAGTTAAACAATGGTTTTCATCAATTGGATTTGAACAATATAAAGATGTAATTTTTTGAATAAATTAATTTAACTATTACAGTGCATCTCAATTGAATTTCTCCACCTTTGTATTTCTTACTTTAGCATATTATAGTTTACTTTTGTTCTTTGATAATGGGTATATAGTAAGAATGTATAGACTTTACTGCATCGCATGATTTATTATTTATGACTAATATATCATGCGATGCAATGAAGTAGGGAGTTGTAGATGCACATTTTTGTGGACCTGCCTCTGACCAGCTTCAGACCCGAGTTTTTCTTTCAGCAATATCTGGCACTCTCTGTATACATTAACAAGGGAAGAATCACGATTTTAGCTATTGATTGACTAATATCAGAAAAAGCAGTCCACCTACAGTTAGTTCTTATTGTTCATCTTTCCATCACTCGAAGCTTAATAAATTAAAAGTTATCACTTAGTTAAAAAGAGCATTATGTTAACAAAAAAAAAAAAGAAATTGAACAGTTAATTGATAAACGAAGTTCGTCACTAAAAATCACTGAATCAACAGTAACACTAAAACCTTCACTTCTATCAAATAGTCTCAGATGTATTTATGGATATGAGAGCAAGCAGGAATATGTTCTATGCAATTAATGTGAACATTTACTTATTTATAAATTACCGTCGGGTATTAATTCACTATCGAAGCATTTAAGTAGTTTTCAAAATAAAAAACAAAACAACAGTTTCCAATGCTCAAATAAGTATCAATCAGTTTTATGCATTTTCAAAAAATGAGCCAGTTATTCCAGATCGAGTTAAGCAGAAAATTAAAGTTGTTGGTGTTGCATTTGCATTAATTGATATCTCGAGGGAGCTGTGGGTTCACTGTTTTGTGGACTAGACTAGGATCTGGACCTGAGAAAGGCTAAATTTCTGAACCTAGATCGGGATCCTGATCCAGCTGGGTCCAGTTTTGGAAGGATCCGCAACTCTCTATAGTGAAGTCTGTACTTTCTCGCTATATACTGTTATCAAAAAACAAAAGCAAACTATAATAGTCTAAGCTAAGCATTACAAAGGCAGGAAAATTCAATTGAAGTGCACTGTATATTTTAATTTTAGATTATGAAAAATCAAGTAACATTTCATATACCTTTACATCGTTATATATCTATTTTAACTTATGTTTCACTTAATTATCAAAATGGTGAATTAAGAACTTTATTTCCAATTGAAAATGAAATATTTTTACTTAATCTTGCTATATTTCCATTACGAATTCAAGTTGTTAAATATGAAATTCTAACAAATATACTATGGTCATATCATAACTATGAAATGCAAATACAATCTGATATATATTCTAGTACTCGTGGAAATATCTGTTCATATATGAATGATGCAGATATTTTTCTATTACAAGTATTAATAAAAATGAAATATCAATTAATTATTTGTTTATTTTTAGTTGATATCGACTTTAGTGAATGTTAATACATTCATGAAAATGTTTTTTAAAAGGTAGGTTAGACAATACTTGTCTGTACATTTCTTTGATACTTTTATTATTTTGATCTTAGTTTTTATGTACATGAATGGCTTGTTCAAAATACAGCAAATAATCTAATTTTTGAAAAATCAAGTTATGTAACTCTACTTGAAGGTAGTCTGATAGTTTTAGCTACTATCGTTGCATTTTCACCACATCTTGGTAAGTCAATGAATTTATTATTATTTTTTTATTCCTTTTATTGATAAATTGTTTGTTTTTGTTTTAGCATTAGATGATTTTGAACGTCGTCGAGCTGAAATAATTAATGCATTAGCAATACAAGATTGTCATTATTCTTATTTAGATGAACATATAGGTGAACCAAAAGGTTTTGCTATATCTAAACATGACATACAATCAATTGTCGACGATGTATGAACATGTAATGGCTTGGATTAGATATTCATTATATGTTTTCTTTTTTTTTTCCTTCTATTAAAATTTATTAATTAGATTGCTGAATATATATCACCAACAATTGATATAACAAATCAACCAAAACAAGGACGATATAAATTAAAAGGTAAGATATTATTCAATTAAAATCGAAAATTATATTTTTAAATATTAATTTAGATTTTTTATGGGAAGACGAATTTGATCCATTACATGTTCTATCAAGAATAAATCGAAGAGATTTATTTGAAACAACAATGCAACGATATACTAAATGGTAGAAATAAAAATAAAAACAAATGAAAAATAAAAGATAATAATAATTAATGATTTTTAGGGTAATATCAATGAATAAATTTTCATATGAGAAAAATCTTTGGCCACCATATCGATTGTATAAACCAAAAGATCAATTTCAAACAAATCTAAGATGTATTCTTCAAAGTCGATATTTACATGGAGTTTTCTTTTCTATTTGTCATTGGGTAGCAATCTTTGTTTTTTATTCCATTAAATCATATAGGTATATAAACGTTTAAATATTTATAGATGTTGAATGAAACAATTATTCATGAAAGTATTTTATCATTGTTAGTTTATCTATGTGAATTAGCTATTGATGATGTAAGTGATAGATTGATGATTCTTTCGTGTTATTTTCAATGTATTCATCATTTGTATAGCAAATTCGTCGATTGAAATATGGTGAATTTCTTAATGGTTATGCTCCATCAACTATTGAACCACCTCAATGTCAGAATAATTCAGAAATTGATCAGTCAATTTCATTAGAAACACTGACATCGTTAGAAGATGAAAATATTGATGAATATCAACAACAAGAACAACCAATTGAAATGTCTGAAACAGAATCAAATTCATTTAGAGTTAATATTGATGAAGATGATAAGAATGTTCAGTAAAGTTTTTTTCTTTTATTTTGAAATCTAATCAAGTCAACTTGATATTTCTTATAGTACAATCAATATAAAAGAACCATCAAATCTAATTCATGTATCAAATAGTAATTCAAAAATAAATTCATGTCGAAAAAATGATAAACGAGAATATTTAAATGAAATTGAACAATGTTATAGTCGTTGTGTAAGTTCAATATATATTGATGTGACTTTGACATTTATATTTCATTATTTATATTTTCCAGGCAACCAAATTTAATCAAATTTCTGAATATGAACAACAAATTCAAAAACAATGGGATGAACTTATTAAGACAAAAGATTCATCTTTACATAATCAAATGTAAGTCTATAGTAATAATTGGATTTCTTAAAATTGTAATATATCAATCATTTATTATTCAAGATCTCATTCAATACCATTTTATGATCTTGAAAATCAATTTATTGTATGGTTTATTTATTGATTAACTTGTATTTTGTTGGTTTATCTTTATAATAGAGATCAGATTCTTTAATATCACAACATTGTCAAAATAATTACGATAAAGAAGAACAAGAGAATACTCATCCACGAATAGAAAACGTAAGATTATAAAATGAAATCATATTGATTTCTTGCTTGATCATTCTTTTTTGTAGAAAAAAGAGAAAACAGAAGGAATTATCGATGGAAAATATGAGACATTTTATGAACAAGATAATTTACTTATAAATGCTCATACTATCATTGAAAAAATTTCTTTTGAACAAGTTATACTTGATATTGAAAATGGTTAGTTATATTCATAAACAAAAGATGTTTAGAAGCATGTTTATTCATTTTAGACACCATTAAATCTATATTCAAAGAAGAATCAAATAAAGAAAAAAGTTGTACAAATATTCAACGTATGTCTAATAAAAAAAATCAAATTAACTTTTTAAATCTTTCTTCAATTCCATATTTCAAGTTGATCAACCATCAATAAACTTTAGTACAGTTTCAATACAAACAAATTCTAAATATATAACTGAAACGAAATATATCAATATGTCTTTAATACAAATGCTTGTTCATCTGCTATCTAAAATAGTATTAAATATAAATGATATGAATAATAATAAAACTTCATTGAGTCATTTACTTGATAAAGCTCGTATGAAAAAAGGATCTGAAAGTATTGGTAATGGTACTGTTTATCTTGCTCGTCTTCTGGTTAAACTTGAACGATTATGTGATGAATGTAAAATACAAATAAGTGAAACAGTTAATCAATTAGATCACAATCAAACAAATAATAATATAGATAGTATTAACAAGTAATATAATTGAAAAAATATCATATTTTTGTTTTTGATGAAATATTTCAAATCAATGAATTGTGTGATTGTAGAAAAACTAAGGCTAAAGCAATGCAACAAAAGATATTTGAAGATATAGCTAAAAAACAACGAAAACTTTTAACAGCATCAAATGATGAACATCAAGAAGAAAGTATAAGATCATTTAAAATTCCACTGACTTGTACCTGCGAACATGTCCAACTATCAGAAGATGCCGTTAGACTTCATATTGTGGTTTCGAGTAAATCTCAGTGAGATTAGGATAAACTTAAAATGATTCAGACCAATGGTCTACTGATAAAGAGTTATGGATATTTGAATGAAATTTTTTACTGAGAGTAAGACATTTTCATAAAATTCAAAATAAAGAGTTTTGACCTGAAAATTTATTTGCAGGCATGTTTGATAGTCATTCGATAGTCCTAAGAGTTTCAACGAAAATGAACATGTCTTTCTCGAAATATTCAATATTCAGACAAATTTTCAGGTCAAAACTCTTTATTTTGGATTTTTTAGTAATGTCTTGCTCTCAGTAAAAATTTCATTTAAACGGCCATAGCTCTTTATCAGTAGATCATAGGTCTGAATCTTTTGACGCTTGTCCTAGTTTCACCGAGACCTATTCATAGTCATAATATTAAATCTAACAGTGCCCGACAGTTTGGTATGTGTTCTCATTAGTTCGCATCAATCTCAGTGGGTTTAATACTTCTAGATCTTTTGGAATTAAAGAGAAAGTTGTTTGCATTTCTTTTTATTTTCTTACCTATTTTATTTATAAACAGTCTCAAATACATTACATATTTTCTATAGTTCTAACAAGTGATGATAAAGACAATAACGTCGAATGTTGTATTTGTCAAAGTAAAGATGATCAAAATTTACTTGGACTAGTTGTAAGACTAATTGACACTGGCGGTAGATCATTTTCTTATAAAAAGTCATAAATCATTTTGATCACATTTAATAGTTCTTGGAATTCGAGAAGTCAGCAATATTTCGGATAGTTATCTGCCATTATCTATTGATAACTCTAATAACGTTGAATCTTCGTTAAAAGATCTTTTAACTTGCTGTCATTTCTCTAATAAACCAAGTGATAAACAGCAATCATTTGCAATCGAAAAATCTGGAACTATTTATCAGAAATATAAACATAAAAATGACTTAACATGTGCTCAATTTTATGAAGATAAAATACATGCTATGCTTCAAATTTTTTCAGAAGTAAATAAATCTTTTCATTATCTACTAATTGCAAATATTAACACTAGGAAAGTGTGTTAAAATCTATTACAATCAGTTGGAGAACCGGTGTAATTATTAATTCTTGTGGTCATTCAATACATTTATCATGTTATGAACAATATTTAAAATCTCATATTGTAAAATTTCTTTGTCCATCGACTATATCAAAAAATCATTTATTTTTTATTTATAGAAAAAAATCAATTCAAAAATCGATCTATATAATGAATTTAAATGTCCAATGTGTCGTCAAATATCAAATGCACTTATTTATACTCCAATAATTAGTAAACAAAATGAATTAAATGAAAATTTAATTGATTCAATTACTAATCTCATTGAAAAAAATGTTAAACCTTGTGTAAATAAATTTCTTCTTTTAACATAAATAAAACTGATTCTTTTCTGTAAAGATTTCTCCTTCAATAGCTGAATGGTTAATAAATTTTATCCAAAAAATGTATATGATGACTAATAAAAACCAACGAACAATTGATAAACATAAGAAAGAACTAAATAATGATATTATTGAATTATTTATTGTTTCCATACTTAGGTTACTTTTTTATTTTAAACCTGTCTTGAAATTGTTTGTGTTTTTTTTCTTAATGTCATATAGATTTAATCTAGAGAATGATTTACTCATTCGAGATACAGAACATATTGATACGACAATAATCAATCGAAAATCATGCTTTCGTATGTTCTTTTATCAATGAATAGATAGAAAACTAGACAAGACGATCTTATATGAATATTAATGGACAGATACTTCAAAAAAAGACCTTCTAACTGCACCAAAACATTTCTATACTGACTAAAATGTTTGAAAACCAGTTTTTTTTCTTCATTCGAGAGGATCAAATTAATTTAACCGTTCTCAAATACTTTTGTGAAACACGATCTAACAGGAGTGTTGAAGTATAGGAGTGAAAATTTGGACCTCCCCCACAGACCCTATATCAATAACGTCTTATTGCAGTATATGAACTACTGTCTTATTGCATTTCTAGAAGATAGAGTAAAACTAATCTTCCTGTGATTAGTAAGAGCAGCTACCATCATGTTTCACATTTTTAACTCGCAGAGATTGTGTTAACAACTTTTTCTGTTATTTCGATTCTAGGTGAATTGTTCTATATCTGTAGTTTACAATATCCATATCTATTGAATGATTCACATATTTCACTTTGGCGTCGAATTACTGGTCTAATGGATATGAAGTTAGAAAATGATGATCATGACACAACAACAATTATTTATAAGCGAACTGTTCCATTGTTACTCTCCGATCCAGTTGCTTTACTTCTTCGAATCATGCTTAGTTTATCTTATTCAATTACAAAAGGTACTTGAACATATGACTGTGAAATTCGTCACTTTATGGAGTTTTTTTTTGTTGTAGAATTTTACCGAATCATTGTACAAGCTATATTAAATCTTGCTTATATTCAAGCATTATTTACCATTGTTAGTGAAATGAATACAATCGAACAAGAAATATGGAATAATATTCAAACGAATAAATCTGAACATGTATGTTTTAATTATCTTTTCTTTTGTTTAAAATAAATAAAATGAAATATTTTTATTTAAAGAATATGGTGAAATATCTTCGTATTATATCGTTTAAATTATTGCAAGCTAATTTTAACTCAAACACTGATGACGTATGTCTATATTAATCATGATAAGGAAAAGTAATTTTTTTTATGATGTCTAGTCAAAAGTTTGGTCTCTAGAATCAATTAATGCATCAATTCATGAACGATGTGGAAATTTCATCAAAGTAGCTGCTCTTATACAACATCATCTTTATCAACCGATAACATGGTGGTTTGTAAGTATCTATAGTCTTGAACAAGCTTAGCTACCTTTCATAAAGTGCTACTTTTCTTTATGATATTAAGCTGATATTTTGAGTTTTTTAAGTGCGACTATAGACCCTCTTCTTTCTCTTGTCAAACAACATATTCAGCGGAAGTATGTACACAAAAAAAACCTTTTGTTTGCTATTTTGTTATTCCATAAACTACTACTGTTTTGTTTTCTGGTGCTAAAGGTAATCTCATATATCTACTGTATTATTATCAAACCTCGTGACATATAGCCAACATCTTAGTAATTGGCATGTCCGAGATAGTGAACTCATGTTGTAACACTAACCTGACTTTACTCAATGCTATGGCTCTAAAACTTTTAGAACAGATTCGTCGTTTTATAGGAACTTTCTACTAAAAATTTCAAATGAATCACTCAAAGACATTTTGGAAAAGATCCATTTTACTAAAAACTAACATTTGTTCTTCAATGGACATTCTCAATACGAAAACAATATCTCAGTTATTGCAAAATGATCTCTAACGAAGCTCACACTAGAGATAGTTACTACATTAGACTTTCGAATGAGTGGTTGGATGAAAGTATTTGTGCCAACATGGTTTAGACAAGATGATCACAAGAGGAAGATAATGTCTGAATCATCACTTCTTAACTCACTATTATAAAATATAGTAGCACTTCAATGAGAGACAACCACTTTTGGCCTAAACTGTACATTCAACTTACTACATAAAAAAACCAATCTGTAATCTCTCTTTTAAAGCCGGGTCGCCAATTTCAATTTGACGTTTTATGGAAAAACTTGATTCGAGAATTACAATTGTACGATGTTGGTGAACCATATTGGTTTTGTAATGATTCATTATCACTTATTGTTAATTGGTTAGATGAAGTATTTCTAATAGATAAACAACATTCAATATTTGTTCGTGTAGGATTTTTTTTCCTTATCCGATAGTAATTTGTTATTTAGAAATGTTTAGCATATTGCTCGTGCAATACCTTTGTTTGATCCACCACGTTTTATTGATTTACCTGGATGTTATTCAGATTTATTTCAATCATGTAATCGTCTTCATTGTTCTTATTGTCGAACATTAATTACTGAACCTATTTTATGTTTAATCTGTGGAATTGTTTATTCACACGAAGGTTCTGAAACAAAATGTTGTAATCAACAAACACATTCTATCAATGAGGTTAGATATTGTTTATTTTGGTTTTTTGGTACAAGACTTTTCATTTATCAAATCGTTGAAATTTTTCAGCATTTAATTTCATGTAATAATGGTTTACATATATCAATAAATATTAATTCTACAAAAACATTAATTCAACGAAAACAACGTTATACTTATTGGGCATCACTTTATCTTGATAAACATGGTGAAGAAGACAGTAATCTTAGGTTATTTTT